TTATTTCGTAACTATTGATGACACGAAAAATTGTTTATATGGAAATTGCACGGTACAATGAGGCCTATGTTTTGGCGTGAACAAAAATTTATTTACATTATTAGTTTAAAAGATATGATGGTCAAGTTTCGTTTTTTAAATGGAACTACAGGTGTCGATTCTGGGCATTTAATGTTGCATATATCCAGCCGAGGTGTCGATTCTGGGCATTTAAACGTTGCATATATCCAGTCTTGGTATCGATTCTGTGTCCGTACAAATCGTTTGTACCGTGCCGCGTTACCTATTCTACGTTCGTACACAACATGTGTTGCATGTTGCATGTTGCGTGTTTGATGTATCTTTGGTGTACGGCCTACCTTATACATATGTAGCCGAGATGTCAATTCTATATTGTTTATTTTATTATTATTGTTTATTTATTCTATTATCATTCTGTTATTACTGTTAGCTTGTAAATTACTTTAATTTTCAATAGGAAGAAACTGTCCGGTTTCATGGAAATCACGGGCTGTTCCTAACATCATAAAGCACCTAATTTGCAGTCAATAGTTCCGCTACTTAGAAATATTCTGAACTGAACCGTGGCAACAATAAGTTTATGAAGCCATCGACCAGTTTAGTACTTTACTATTATTACAGTTTTATTATTATTTTAATAAATTATAGTATCGGTAGTCGGTAACCGATACTAATTAGGTACATACACCAAAGGTCGCGTATCGAGAGGGCGCGAGACCTCCAGACGTGCCAAAACACGATCGTCGAAATCGACAGTTGAAATAAAGACTTCCCGACGCCAACACGTGTGATTCTTTAGAACAAACCTTAGAACCCTTAGTGCCGTTACTACAAAATAAATATAATTCAAATCATATCGTGTTTGGTACCATTTTAATCAGAAAAATACCACAAATGCGTTAGTAAAAGTTTCATTAAGAAAAAGTTAAAAATAAAAAAGTTTTATCGTTCAATTAGTATTAGTCACACCGATATTACGGTCGGATCATATTACACGGTTTCCTCGCCGAGCGGCTCGGTTCGGCTTAGGGGGATCCCCCCAACTGGAGGGGATAGCGATGTTGCATATATCCAGCCAAACTTTTGTTGCATATATCCAGCTTTTACTGTAAATGCAACCGAGATTGGGACCCAGACAGTGGCGGAAAAAGGGAGGTCCGATGATCAAAGGAAAGAGCCGAAACGTATCGGTGTGACTAATGCTAATTCAACTATAAAACTTTTTTATTTTTGACTTTTTTTTACTGAAACTTTTACTAACGCATTGATGAAATTTTTCTTATTAAAATGATACCAAACACGATATAGTTTGAATTATAATCTATATATATAAAAATGAATGTTTCTTTGTTTGTCCCGTATGCGTTCCTACACCATTCATCCGATTGCGATGAAACTTTGGTGAGTTATTGCACGAACGCCCGCGAAGGTTTCTGGGCGTGTACAGTAAATCCTGGATATATGCAAGAGAAATTAGGACCCAAAAATTGCATATATCCACTCGAGGTGTCGAATCTCGGGTTACACGCGACGCTATCCAAGCGTGAACATAGAAAGGGACAGATAGTGGAGGAGAGATAGAGGTCCAATGATCAAAGGAAAGAGCCAAAATGTATTTATAAAACTTTTTTATTTTTTATATTTTTTAATGAAACTTTTACTAGCACATTGGTGAGATTTTTCTGATTAAAATGATACCAAACACGATATAGTTTGAATTATAATTACTTGCTAAAATTGATAAAAGTTGGCGAAAAGCCAAAGAGATTGAATCAAAACATTGCATATACGCACTGGAGGTGTCGAAGTTTGACCGGACAAGAAAGACAAATGTCCTGGTCCTGACTGATTCATTAACGCCCAGCCCAAACCCCTGAACCTAGAAACATGAAATTCGAGTAGTGTATTCCTCTCATGACGTAAGCACCCACTAAGAAGGGATTTTTAGAAATAGGACTCTTAAGAGTGTAAAAAGGGTTAAAATCTATTTACACGGATTACACAAACCAGACTTAGTTTTTGCTTACGAAGATCACCCATACAAATGATTAAAAACATAATTCAGGATTTCGTTCTAATCAACCTCCAAAGGCGCAAATCTAGATTCAGGGGTGAAGGTAACTATATAGATTACGGACCGCACCACCGATTTCGATGATTTTTAAATATGGACTAGAAATCAACATTTTGAATAACTTTTTCCTATACATATAACCGCCGCTCGACCTTAGTTCTTGAGATATTTTTGAAAAACTGTGGAAACTATCACATTGAACTCTGCCTATCCGTGTGCGATCGTAACAACGTACGCGTTAGTATTGGATCGCCGCTTTTCTACTGTTTTCGCAGACTCTCAAAGGATTAATAATGAAGGCAAACTACACTTAGATGACCTGACAAGGGAAATTAAAAATAAACTGAACACCCAGTGGGAAGACGAATGGAAACAAAAGGCTCCTAACCATATTAAAAATATATCCGACAACTTCTTTGAGGACCTAAAATCGACCTCCACTCTACTCAGAAGAGAACAAGTGGCCATCTCAAGAATTAAAATTGGCCATTCTAGAATCACTCACTCCTACAGACTATCAAAAACTCCAGCTCCCCAATGTGAAGAGTGTGACTCCGCAATATCCATAGATCATTTAATCCTCCACTGTACTAAATATGATTTCCTCCGCAACAAACATAAACTAGAATCTTCTCCCAAGGACAATTTAAAAAACAGTAAAATACAGGACTTACTCCAATTTATAGAAGATACTAAACTAATAGAACTGATAATGTAAGCTTTACCTACTCCTTGATGTCGCTAATAACCTTGTAGTTGATGTGACAATAAACCTTAATTTAAAAAAAAAATACTTTTCTGAAATACTAGAGATTGATCACCAGAAAATAATACAACCATTATTATAGCGGGCGAAGCCGCGACGGGGATGCTAGTTACTTACTAAAATTGATGTTAAAAGTTGGCGAAAAGCAAGAGAGATCGAAATCAAAACCAGTCGCGGTGTCGGCTCTGGTTTCAAAGGTTTCATTTATCCAGGCGAGGTGTCGATTTTGGGTATTTAATGTTTCATTTATCCAAGCGAGGTGTCGATTCTGGGCATTTAATGTTTCATTTATCCAAGCGAGGTGTCGATTCTGGGCATTAAATGTTTCATTTATCCAAGCGAGGTGTCGATTCTGAATCCGTACACATCTTTTGTATTCAGTCGACATGTCGATTCTGAGTCCGTACACATCTTTTGTATTCAGCCGACATGTCGATTCTGCGTCCGTACACATCATTTATATTCAGTCGTGGTGTCAATTCTATATTGTTTATTCTATTACTATTGTTTATAAATATAATTCAAACTATATCGTATTTGTTGTCATTTTAATCAGAAAAATCTCACAAATACGTTAGTAAAAGTTTCATTAAGAAAAAGTTAAAAATAAAAAAGTTTTAACGTTCAATGAGTATTAGTCACGCCGATATTACGGTCGGATCATATTACACGGTTTCCTCGTCGAGCGGTTCGGTTTGCCTAGGGGGATCCCCGCAAGTGGAGGGGATAGCGATGTTGCACTTATCCAAGCATTCTTTCGTTGCATTTATCCAGGTTTTACTGTATATATTTTTTTTCAGATCATGTGATAGTGCTTTTCAAGACGAATTCATTAAGCTGTAATGTATACACCCGATTTTAATTAGTTTTCAAGATACAACGTTTACAAATTTCCCGATTTACAGTGGATACGTCTCGGTTTGAGTAGCAAGTCGTGAAAGCGACCCTAGAAAAGCGCTTCCTCTTAACACGTGTGTACAGAATCGTTCTCATATATTGGCGGAACACCACCACCTCCACACGCCTGAGGATGGACCGAAACCAGGGAAAGGGACCTCTTTCGGACAGGGATGGATTCCTCCACCATTGGACCAGGATTCAGCGAAGAGGAGATTTCTTTATTGCATAGTCTGAACGCGGCCTTAGGGAAAGTCCTCTAACTTGGGGGTGTCATAAACAAAAGAGCATACTGTCAAAAGTATTCTCACAACGCGACGGAGGATTTTTGGGACGGCAGGGCATTCTTGTTCTGACCGTCAACTTGTACAGACAGTTGAATAACAGAGAATATTCAGTTCTTTTTAAAACGCCTACAGTTTGCTGAGTTGGTTTATTTCCGTACCTTTTAATCACCCGCTCCGCTTAATCTGATCTTACATATTAGAAGTGGGATTAACCGTGTGTGAAGTGCACATTTTGGGAGTACACTTACATGCATTTTGTGTACGAATTGTTTAAGTGCTCCGAACTATGAACTGTGCAGTTAGTTTATATTATTAGATAAGAATTAGTGATTAGCAAACTTTTGTGTTGATTGTAGACTTTGAATTTTTGGACTTTAAAATAGTATTAAAAGCTATTACCGACATTACCGACAAAAATGGGCCTATTAAGGGGTTCACGGGAATCGGTTATTCTTCCTTATATGAGAAGATTTTGAACTGAATAAGGGCTCATTCGAAAGTGGAAGGTTCAATGCAGGGCGGTCAACTCACCGTTTGAGCCACAAAACTCTTTTAGTGGCCTAAGAATGCTTCGATTCTGCGACTGCATTTTGTCGATATTTTTCTTTACTTTGGATACTCATATTATCAAATATCGACACAATCTCGTTGTACCATGGGTTGACCGCCCTGCATTGGACCTTCCTCTTTCGAATGAGCCCTCACCCAGCCCCAAGTCTTCTCATATAAGGACAAATAACCAATTCCCGTAAAGCCCTTAATAGGCCCATTTTTGCCGATAATGTCAGCTCGTTGCATTACCCGTGTCTACCCCCTTAAGGCAGGTCTATTCAAAGAATCTTTTTCTGTTGAAAAAATAATTTTAATATCAGAGAAGTAAGAAGTTCGTACGCAGTGAACAGTAAAATATAATCTGGGACAGGTATTTAAAAGAAAAAAAGTGTATTTTAAAAACATTTTTTTTTAATAAGAATTATTATAATACACTGTGGAGGTGGGGGATGTAGTATATGCGAATCTCGTTTGTGTACGTATATACATGGGGTGCATCGGTGGTGTGTATGTGGTGGGAGGCAGCGGTGCATATAGGGAGTACGGCGGAGGTGCGTAGACGGGGGCAAGCGGAGGTGCACATGTATACCCCCTTCGGTATTCTGATTTCCCTTCCAATTTTCGTTTCGTTTTGCGGATCCTCCTATTCATTTGGCGCCTCGCTGCTTCCCTTATTTTCTAAAATGCATATAAAATTACATGATTAATAAAATACATATACACAAGGCACAGAAAGGTTTATTATGAAATACATTCATACATATGAAGTGACATTCATAATAATGGACTTCCACACCACCTTTGAGGTTCCACTAATGGCGCGTTAGATTTTTTTATAGTGGATCTTCGCCTGGAGCCCTATTGTACCACTTTATAAATTGTCAGCACACGTTAGATCGCCTCTGACTGTATTAGTTATAAATTGTCAGCACAAGTTAAATCGTCTCTGACTGTATTTGTTATTGTTAGAATTAAGTGAATTACAACTAAATTAACTTGATATATATACTTATTTATTATATAAAGACTAAACTACTCTATACTAGTTTGTCACACACTTATCCATACTACCAACTATACTAAAACTAAATACAAAATCACATTCTACGAAGAGTTATAAATTGTCAGCCCACGTTAGATCGCCTCTGAATGTATTTGTTGTGATAGACAAGTAAAAAGGCAGACATTCTGAAAATGAAAACAGTCTTTCACAGATTTTGCAATTTTCGTACCTTTGCAGTTGGCTTGTGAAAAGAACTTTTAGGGCATCGTAATTCTTGACCGAGCCATATCGTATCCTTATGAATTTTTACTTTCATCATAAAATATGTTATTTTTTTTCGATGTTCGTTGCACGTACTACTGTCAAACCGACCACAAAGCTGAGGTGAATTGTTAACACCTTGTACAAAATAAAGAAATATTTTATCAAGAATGCCCTCTTCAGCCCGTAAGGTAGGATACATTTTATCAAAAATAGCATTAAATATACGAAATGCAAAAGAAAATTTCTTACTAGGGGTTATAAGACTTCCAAAATCTGAATCAATATTTGTCTTATAGGCACGAAGAAATATTAAAATCTGTTCATTTCGTGAAAGAACTGTTGTACTATCTAATAATTCTGCCTTGCATATGTCGCAATTGGTTTTTCTAATATTTTTCCTAGCGACATATCCTACAAAATATTCAATAGCACATGACTCTAAGGTGTGGGCAGTTTCAGATACTTCTTGCAAGATATCAGCGATGATAGTATCACTTGCATCCTCTGCTTCTAGGCTTTTACGGGAGACTCTCTGATGATTCTGGAGTCACTGATGTCACAATTAACAGAAACTGACGAATTTTCGGTACTAGTTGACGCAACATTTTCCGAAGATTGTGGCAAAGTGAAAAGATTACAATCTTCGTCATCTAAACAATTTGCAGATTGCGATGGCTTCATTAAATTTAACATCATATTTTTCTGCAAATTCAATCTAAATGTTTTCGCGAACGAATTTTGTTCACAATTACCCGCGTTATGCCTGATCATAGAAAATAAATTTTCTATTGGATCTTGTTGTAAACGCGACGTCATTAAATATGACGCACCTTCATCGCGAATGTCACGCCACAATTGTGTCGTCGCGTTAATTGATAGCTGCAAGCCTCTGAAGCACGGAGGACGTACCTGCCGACTCTTTTGAATTACCCATAACAAACCTCGCTCAAAGAGGAGGTATAACAAGAGAAGAATATACCTCCTCTTTGCAATAATTCTGCACACGTTTACATAAGTTGTATATGAGATATTTATTTATTTAAATTATTTGCATTCACTCAGAATATTGACTAATACTCCTTTGTATTTTTTATTAGTTTCGAAAAACAGTTACTATAGGTTTCTGGAAATACAAGCGTCACACAATTGGGACCAGTTATATCTGTTTGGTAAGAGATAGGAAAAAGCTATTGATGTAAAAGTTGAATGGTATGACTTATGAAAAATATGAGATATCTCACGAAATATTAGTTTTTTAAACATTGTACTGTTAGATATAAGCGCGTTAGCAAAATAGTGAGAGGGAATAGTAGCAAGGGGAGAGAAGGAGAGAAGGAGCCGAGGCCCCTCCATTTATTAGTTTTAATAGTACCATAGTACTTTTTTATGCAGAATGTTTCAAGGAGTTGATACGAGTAAAGAAAAAAATGCAATTCTATTTAAATAAAAAGTGCATCTGCATTTTTTTAGTGCATCGTTGCATTCACGAAGAAAATGAAGTTATAGAAAATTAAACATTATCATCCCGTTGAACTTTTACATGAACAGCTTTTTCCTATTTCTTACCAAATTCAAGATGCAGGGTGTTCGACAATAGGTGGGCAACATTTTAAGGGGTGATTCTAGGAATCAAAATAAGACAAAAATCAAGAATAACGAAATAGCGTTTGCGGCTTTGTTTTCCAGTAATTAATGTTCAAAAATTCGAGTAAAAAGCGCCTGAAACGTGCAATCCGCCCAGCACCGACGATTGAACGTCAGGTCAGCAGGGGTCGGTACAGTCATAACCAAGAATCGAAACCGAATGCTGCAGTACCGAGAAACAGAATAGCACGAGGTAAGTTTCTACTATTCAACGATTTTGTACCTTCCCCTGCTGACCTGACGTTCAGTCGTCGGTGCTGGGCGGATTGCAGGTTTCAGGCGCTTTTAACTCAAATTTTTAAACATAAATTAATGTAAAACAAAGCCGCAAACGCTATTTCGTTATTCTTGATTTTCGTCTTATTTTGATCCCTAGAATCACCCCTTAAAATTTTGCCCACCTGTTGTCGAACACCCTGTATAACCTGCCCCAATTGCGTGACGCACTCTGTATGCTTTTATGAATTAAAAAACATTTACAGTAATGCTTCGAAATAAGCAAGTGGTCTCTGCTTCGAAATAAGCAAGTCGCTATCCCCTCTTTTTTGTTTGAAGTCGCCCGCAAAGTGAGAGGTACGAGAAACGAGTGAGAGGTCCATGAAAGCGCGAAGCCGATGTTTAGGGTAATAAATTTCACGCTTGACTGAGCAGTGACATCGGTTAGTAGAAGAAGGATGGAATATATATAATGCTTTCTCAGTCTGGTATATTTGCTTCGAAATAAAGCATAGTGCGAGAATGAGAGGCCATGCTATATTCTATCCTTGTTCAAAAAATAACATCCCTGCTCGGCCGATCACTTTATGATTTGCCGCTACCTCGGTTCTCTCACTCGCTTCTCGCGTTCTCTATCGTCCCGTTTCGAGAACAAAGTCAAGCCGAATAGCTACCTGCTTCGAAATAAGCAACTGTTCGGTCCCGAGCCACTTGCTTATTTCGAAGCATTACTGTATTTAAAAAAGCTAATAACTTTTTCTACAAAAATTCTTAGATTGCACGTTCCTTCGGTTCTTCAGAGTAGGCATATATTTTTTAGCAGCGAGGCGTGCTACGGTGCGCTATATAAAATCTACGCGTTCAGTCAGTCAGAATTTACCGGAGTGGGAAAATTCTATCATTTAGGTTGAAAGAAGGATAGCATGATCACCGTACATCTCACTCTAAACACACGCCAATGTTTCGCTTTCGTTCTTCAGGCGTATCATCGCGATGCCTCTGGCGAGATGAGGTTTACAAGTAGCAGTTCTAGCCATCACTACGGAGATGTCACGTGCCGTGTCTATCGAAGTAAAGTTGGCGCGGAATATGAATACTTCTTAATAATTTATGTCTTAAAAAATTGCTCCCTATTTGCTCCCTCGGAATCTAAAATTGCTCCCCATTTGCTCCCTCGGAATCTAAAATTGCTCCAGTCGCAAACATTATATTTAATAAGATATTCGCAAATAAAAAAGCAGAAATTTGTTATCTGCAAAATAGATAGTAATTGATCTCTTTACAAAGATATTATGGCACCAAAAAATTGCACTCGATTTGTTTTATAAGATTCAATGGTCACATATATCAATAACAATTTATTAACAAAGAGCAATTGAAAATAAATGTTGTTGCGTATCTGCCAGTAAATTATGACTTCATAAATGACCGTTGAATATATCCACCGAGTGAAATGTTGCGATTCTCGCCGGTGTAAGTGAACATAGCTACAGAATCAATTGTGAACTAGGCTGTATGGAGCAGAATCAATTGTGAACTAGGTTGTATAGAAAATTGAATGTAGTGGCTGAAGCGCGACAAATTTAAATAGTGAAAAGAGGATCAGTTTTTCGTTATCAAATTGTTAATCAACGATTCCTTATCATATAGCTCAATCAGTAGAAGGGAATCGGTTTTTCGTTATCAAAATGTTAATCAAGGACTAAAATTAATGAGCGTTGCTAACGATAATTTACTTAGTAATCAGGAGCTATATACAGGGTGGCCCACATAACTTTTAACAGCTCAATATCTCGAAAACTATGACATCGATTTTAAAGTTCTTGGTCTCAAATTGCATGGATCTGAAGGGCCTTTCTAACTAAATACATAAACATGAAGTGGCCCACCCTTCTTCTTTAATGGGGGGCGGGGGTACCTTTATAATTTTAAATGGAACCCCCTACAAAAAGTGATATATTTAGATTCTACAGGAAAAAACAAGTAAATTTTGTCTGAAACATTTTTTTGTCAGATATTTCCATAATGAGATTATAACAGTTTGAAGTTTCGACTTGTAGGTACTTCCTTGTAGGTACAATTCTTGAGTTTGACTCAGTTATCCATGAAAACGTTCTCATCGTCAGTACGATGATTTAAATAACATTTTTCGCATGATGTGGTGTCACGCGAAGTTGGCACCTCATATTTTCAAAATGCTATTTTTTCAGGTATTTCGCCGGAACTATTTCTGAAACCTATCAGGAACTATAGAACTATTGCGGGTGCAAATAGAGCTATTGCTAAAAGTTTTATTTTTTGAAAATGAGGTGCTAATTTCACAATTCAATAACGCTATTTCCAAGCGCTTCAAGTAAGTACCTACAAGTCGAAATTTCAAACTGTTATAATCTCATCATGGAAATATCTGACAAAAAAATGTTTCAGACAAAATTTACTTGTTTTTTCCTGTCGAATCTAAATATATAACGTTTTATATTGGGTTCCATTTAAAATTATAAAGGTACCCCCGCCCCCCATTAAAGAAGAAGGGGAGGCCACTTCATGTTTATGTAGTTAGAAAGGCCCTTCAGATCCATGCAATTTAAGATCAAGAACTTTAAAATCGATGTCATAGTTTTCGAGATATTGAGCTGTTAAGAGTTATGTGGGCCACCCTGTATATAGGCAATCCTTACAAAATCTTTGTCCTTTGTTCTTTGTCCTGCGCTCAAGAGAAGTAAAGCTCGTGTAAAACCATTTTTCAAATTCAGTTTAATTATCCTTGTTCAAATTCATTTAATTAAAAGTTATTTCTTGTTAAAAGTTGAGTTCATTTAAATAGTTTATAATCAGTTTCATTTCTTAAAGTGAGCAGAGTGCTCCACGGGCAACTTATCTACGTTCCTAGGAAAGAAAATCCCTAAATCTACATAAAATCTCGCAACAGAATGTGGCGGCACCTACGTCCGGTAAGCCGTCTCGTCGGAGAGTTCATTTCCGACTGCAAGAGCGCACCCTATAGTTAGGAAAAGCGGGAAAATATTTTTCCTTCCCCACGCCAACCGTTGGCGTGGGTCATTCTGTCCTCGAACCTCGAAGCGGTTAGTTAGAGACGCTTGTATAAACTATACTTTTATATTTTTATATTTTTATAATTTTATCTTAATACTCATGTATAAACTCAGTAAATTTAGCTATAAGAGTTTAGTGTTGGCATCAGTACGGTGAATGACTGATTAGTGATAATAAAAAGACTTGTTTCATGTGCATTATAGACAAAGAGTTATTAATTTATCCATTCTATTTTAACTGTTGATGATATGGTAGAGGCCTAATTTATCCTCACCTGTGAAAGCCCCTACAAGAAAATAAATGTCAGCGACATCTGTCGCTTGTATACATATAATCTTTAAGGTGATGCGAGCGTTGAAAACTTTACCGACAGTCCCTAGAAAAATCCCTAGACGCAAGTTCTCAAAATACGTCCTCATTTCTAAACAAAATGCAAAAAAATTTGAAGAACGTGTTCAGGAGGCTCTAAAGAATATTAGTCTGGTCCTTATATTATCCAAATCGTCAAAAAGTTATAA